GGACTTGATTTCATCCTTCGGGAATTGATTGGATCGTTGGAAGTTGGGGCATTGCCAACAAAATGGAGGCAGATCTGAATGCCAGTTTGCAGTTAGTTGTGGGGGATTTCTCTCCACTGGATTCACTGCCGACACCCTAGCATGAATAAATGTTTTTTTTTTTATTGAGGATGACGACGACGATCAACGGCACAAAACATGCCTAAACAGCACGCGTGTGTGCGTGAGAGAGAGAGCAGAGCGAGAAAGAGAGAGACTGCCTGAATGACTGAGAGCATCCTCCATCAGGTTAAGTCATATTCATGAAAAAAAAATAATAATTAGTTTGCGATGTTCGAAGAGTAATGTTGTCGTAATATCCTAATATCTTTTCAATGTTTAAGGGTAACGTACTCCCTTATGACTGTTGTCAGTGCTATAAAGTGAAGCATCAGCTTCAGCTTTTCCCCCTGTCGTTTATTCCAAACGTCACTGATGTCACTGCAGCTGCTGGCAGTTCCAGATAGCTCCGCCCTTGCGCCATAGCTCGTGACCGGAAGAGTAGAGGAGTTGTTTTGAGGGGGGGGAGGCTAACGTTTTTGATTAAAGATTACAAGGGCACATGCATTTTAAAAAAATAATGAAGAGCACGGATAAATTATTTATAATAAACACTACAGTATTCCATAAAAAAATAAGAATTTTCAATTTTGATTTCATGGTGACTTTAAAACGTTAGCCATCTCATTTTTTTTTTCTAAACTGGTCATAACAGTTTAAAGTCCATTACAAAAATGTAGTTTGGCCCAATTTTATTCAGAAAAGTGAGACTTATCTCTTGGCTAACTGCTAGTTGGTCAAACTAGGTTTCAAGAGGTCTTACATTTAACGACGGAAAGACAAGATTCGTGATATGGCTTAATGTGACGATTAAGGCTATGATTTCATTTCATAAATAGGAGTGCTGCACGTTTGTGTCTCTAAAGAGAACCGACTGTCCTCAGAAAAGTTTTGATAGCATTTCCATTTAATCTTACCTATTATGCTTGATAAAGTAGCGTTTATGAGCTCAGCGCTGCTTTGTGTACAGCCGTTACCGGTGAAACCTATATTTCTGTCGTTTCAAAAGCCCCACTTAGGCTACTTTTACACTAGTGCATTTTCATTTTAAAACGCATAACTTTTGCTACGGTTACGCCTGTCGTTTACACTACTCCGGCGTTTTCGACCCTCGAAAACAGAGACTTTAGAAAACGCTGCAGACCCCATTTTAGTTTGAAAACTCTGGGGTTGCGTTTCAGTGTAAACGGACCAAAACTGACTTTTGATGTTGGCGTGGCTGCTAACATTCGCTCTGCGTATCCTTGACGACCGTGTAAACAATAACATCATGCTCATTGTTGTACCGGCATGAATGGCCATGTGATGTGTTTTCGGTTGTGTAGTGTGGACGGAGATCGTTTCTGAAACGCAGTGAAAATGCAAGTGTAGACAAGGATCGTTTTCTTTCTAAAGCGCCGTTTTAAAACCAAAACGCACTAGTGTAAACAGGGCCTTAGTGGCAGAGAATGAATTTGCATTTTCAATAAGCCCATCTGCTGTTTTAGTTCAGACCAATGCGAAAATCGACCCATGCTTTTACAAAGCAAACATGCAGAGTTGTAAATGTGAGATAGTCAGTAAGATTTATATTTGTTTTAAATTAATATAATAATTTATTTGTTTGACTCATCCCTTTTCTTAAAAATCGGTTTAAAGGCTGAAATGTTATGTTATGTTTATCATTATATAAACCTGTATCTGAACTGCAAATCATGTCACTTTACGGTTTAATATGTCAACATGCCTGCCCGAAGGGTTACCAGGGATTTTGCGACACAATGTAATACATTTCATAATAAGCAATGAGGTATGCATTTCTGATGTCTGATAAGGAAATCTCAAAACACTTTGAAAATGAAATGCACAATCAGTTTCAGAGGTTTTGATAGCACAAATAGCTTGGCAGCACACACCGTGCACCTATGCTCTGAAGGCAGTAATCTAATCTCCATGTAGGCCTAAATTTCATTTGCATAATCGTATTGTTGGAGTTATTATACCTTAGGTGTGTTGTGGAGGGAAAACAACAGAGGTGTAACCCAACACCATTATGTGCACGCTGGATTAGACAAAACCATACTGGTGATTAATTGGGGAATAACAGATGCATGTAACCGTAAAACACTAAAGCAATGAGTCATGAAAGGCCTTGGTAAAAACAAAATAAAACCGCTTTAGGTGGCTTATTGCTGCTTATGGTGTTTTCTAAAAGCAACACGATAAAGACTACCAATGATCAATACATAATAGCAAATCAATATAATTAATATTGTTATAATAAAGTTTTTTTTTTTTATATTTTTGATAAGTCTCTTATGCTCACCAAGGCTGCATGTATTTGATCAAAATTAAAGTAAAAACTGTAATATTGTGAAATGATACAACAATTTTAAAAAACTGTTTTCTATTTAAATATATTTTAAAATTGAATTTAATCCTGTGAATTTTTTTGCATCATTACTCCAGTCTTCAGTGTCACATGATCCTTCAGAAATCATTCTAAAATGCAGATTTAATGCTCAGGAAACATTTCTTCATGTTATCAATGTTGAAAACTGTTTTTTTACAGTTGCTGCTAAATATTTTTGGGAAAACTGTGATACATGTTTTATAAATAAAGTTCAAAAGAATGGCATTTGAATTTTTTTTGTAACATTATACATGTCTTAATGCATTAAAGTGCCCCTATTATGCCTTTTCCAATATTACCTTTCATGCAGTGTGTCATGTAGCTGTATATGAACATAAACTATCTGCAAAGTTGTGAAGCCGACAGTGCACGATAAATAAAGTTATTGTCTATCAAAAAAAAAAAAAAGAAGAGTTGGCTCGCAATCGCCTAAACGAGTCGTCAGGAATTCGAATGTTATTCTGTTACGGCTCTACGTCACGAAGTAACACATTTGCATAATGTCCGCCCACGTTCTACGTCGCCAACTTGCCCACCCACAAACAGTAACATTTCCGTGTGGTTAACATCATGTCGAGAAGACACTGTATCCTACGCTGAGAGTAAATTTATTTTATCACATCTTATAATTACCACAAACTTATTAACACTTACCACTGAGAAACGTCCTGCTGCAGTTGAGCTTGCGAATCAGTCTCTCGTCGATCAGCCAGTTCAACCGTTTCATCATCAGACTCCGGCTCGAATTGGTAAGGTACAATCGATACCATCTTTTCTATGTATTGACAAGTCTCCAGGGTTGTCATTCTGTCATTGCAATGGGCGTTTCATTTCCGACACGCGCTGTACGCGGTAGACCAATCCAGAGCCAATCTCTCTACGGCTCTGGACCAATCACAAAGGACTGTGCCATCTGACCAATCACAGCAGTGAGGGCTCACGGAAAGGAGGGGTTTAGAGAGACTGATTCTTTGAACTGCTTCGCACGAGTCGTTTACGAATCATTTAGAAATGAGGTAAAATGTAATTAATTTTTGAGAAAACTAATGTGTTTTTTTACCTTGCATGCATGTAAAGAGAGAGTTTTAGGAGACTCATAAAACAATATTAGCAACCTTAAAAATGGCATAATAGGGGCACTTTAATTGCTAAATAATCACATCCTTGCTAAATAACAATTTTTTTTTTAAATCTATTTGAAATAATCTATTTAATAAATCTAATTTATATTACTATAATTATTATATTTATTCAACCAAAAAAATGTGATAACAGTGGACTGTTTACAGCAATGGTTTGTAGCAACCCGTCTCATTACTGTAGAATTTAACTGATGCATTGTCACAGCTACATTGCCTATTTTACAACGGCATCAAACATTTCTCATCCAATCTAAATTTATAGCCAGAACTATTCATTTTATAATGGAAACTAATACCATTTATAGAGGTACCCACCTGGATCTTCTGCATGGCCACACTCATGCCCTGTTCAGCTGTCATTTGCATGCTCTGGCTTACAGCTTGGAACCCACTACTACGCAGAGAGCCTGCCTGGGTCTCAATCACGGCCTGGCTGAGCCTGGCTAGGCCTCTCATCAGCAACAACATGTCGCCTGCCATGATGTTTCCTCTTTACACCTACTGTACAGGAGAAAGGGAAGTGATTCAATAGCCTCATCCTCAACCGTTTTTAAGCCAACAATGGTGGTGGAAAACAGTCACACTAATTGTATGCAGTTCCAAAAAAACAAGAAACTCACAAGTATAACATTTACTGTTACTATGATACAATCAGCTGGTAATACCATGGTACTTTGATATACTGTATAACATTGTACTGAATGATAACCATAATGACATACAGTACCATGATATTTACATGGTACTCTGAGGCATTTCAAAGAATATTATGGTACTACCATGTATTACTGTGTTTCAGAAAACAATGACAGTTGAAATCTACCATACATGCATAGAAAAAATAAGAATAAAAGAAAAACAAAAGTACTACAGCCATGTTACTGAATGATTAACAAGCATGAACATTATAGTCATGTTTATGTAGTCATATAATTGGTGAGATGAAACAAAACATTGTATTACCATGGTGTATTTCCAATAAATTGTGGTTATATTCAATAGACACCACTGTTCAAAAGTTTGGAGTCAGTAAATTTGTTTTTGAAAGAAATTAATAATTTTCTTCAGAAAGGGTGTATAAAATTGATTGAACATGACAGTAAGATTTATGTGTTCTTTTGGACATTCTATTCATCAAAAAATATTGAAAAAACAATTAAGCATCACAAAAAGCTTTGAAACCCCAGGAATAAATTACATTTAAAAAAATATTAGGAAAAAAAACATTTTAAATTGCAATAACATTTCACTGTATTTTTGATCAAATAAATACAGCCTTGGTGAGCATAAGAGAGTTATTGATATGAACACATATGAAAAAGTAATTGAATAATAGAAGACAGACATGGACGCTATAGTTCTTTATTTCATCTATTAATTTATTAATTAAAAAAAAAAAAAAAATCTCTCACTTGACCAGTATGTGCAAGTGCCACCACACAGGCCTATGGTCAGCAACTACCAGTCTATGATACAGCTGAGTCTAAAGGTAAATATAGATCTTTGCAACATTGGTAAGTTAGCTAAAAGGATAAAGCCAAATTAGACAGTTATTATTGGCCTCAATTGCCCTGTCAAACTCAGGTGGTGAAAAGGTTCACTTGTCACAAAATAAATCACATTCATTTGACTTACATTTGAGGGCATGAGCTAGGGGTGGGAAATATGACCAAAATCTTATTTCACTTATTTCTTATATTTTTGTTGTTTTATCTTTGTTATTAATAACAAAAACATAGATTTTATTTTTAGGTATAGTAAGTCTATTTAACAGTATTCAAGTACGAGACAGAGAAAATGAATCAAGTAATCAAATTGTAAAAGTAATGCACTGCATAGTCTTCACTGTATGAATTAAATATACATTGATCCTTATTAAAGCTACACAATTACTCAGTCAAGATCAGTAAGTGATTTTCTCTTTTTCTTTTGCTGTTTGATTAATAATAGAGATACAGACAGCAGCTGAAATAATAGTCTGCTGTCATTTCAAGAGCTGCACAGATCCAATTTATTGATACACACCCATTTTCTTTCTGTTTACGTTCACTTAAGACATAAGCCAAGACAGGGATATTAACATATTTGTGTGTGTAGTTGGCTGTTGAAGCACAATAACTTGAGAAAGAGATCTTAATTCATGATTGCATGCAGTCTGAGAGAGGTGACTCTTATTAAAACGATGTAATTCTTAAAGTATTAGAAAAATAAGGAATTACACTGTTTTTGAAAGCAGGGTATCGTGACACCTTTTTAGTACTGGTATATTGTGCAACACTAATAACAAATAAGCTTGTTAGTGCAGAAATACCAAAGCAATGTAGTGTGGAGTGCTAGCAAAAACATTAATAATACATGTATAATAATGCATTGTACATGGTTGTATATTTAATAGTGACTCATGTTGTCTCTTTAAATCAACGCCAGTGTCATCGGCCAACAACAAAACAGCTGTTATCACAGTTCTTGGCAGCTCTATCAAAGGTTAAATGTTTTCACGATGAGACAAATGTCAAAGCCTTTAGTCAATGACTAACAGTCTTACAAAGTGGCTGCAGACACTGAGTCAGTCACAATAAGCATACGAGGAGCTAACTTGCGATTCAGTCTAAACTAGGGGTGTGCGATTTATATTATCTACAATAATATCGTAATTGTTGTTTAAACAATATGCGATTTGACATTGAGTATATTGCAAAAACTAGGGATGCACCGATACCACTTTTTCCAGTACTCGCCCGATACCGATACTTTTATTTTTGGTACTTGCCGATACAGAGTACCGATACCAATATTTTCATTGCATTTGTAAATTTTTAAAATATTGGGTACAAGCAAAACACGCGCAACGCGCACACGTATTTGTACTGGTGCAGAATGAGAGGTACAAGTACAGTACAACCTAGCGCATTTTACACAGGCTGTTAGATTCACTTTCGCCAGAAAGTCATGTATGCTTAAGGGTAAAAATTAGGGGTCGACCGATTATCAGCGCCGATATTATGTCTTATATTGATTATCGGTATCGGTCATTTTCAAAACCGATTCGCCGAACCTATTT